AAAATGATATTTTCATTTCCTTGATATATTTTGAATTTTATTACTATTGGTACTCCTCCGATGATTATTTCCTTTTCTGTAGTTTCTTCGGTATACATTAATGCTTTTGGTAGTTCGGAGCATGATTGTTCAATAGTTATTATTTCATCTTCCGTTACTAATTCTCTTGTAATATAGTTTTCTTCTCGTCCTGTATCTATTAATATTAAATATTTTCGTTGTTCCATTATTCCCGTTATGTAGTAATGATGTGGTTTTATATCTTCTTCTATTGATTTTTGTGGGGTTTTATCTATTTTCCTTGAGGTACTCATTTTTTATGATGTTTGGGGTATCTCACCGTTTATTCTTTTCGATGTGCTTAGTCTTTCTTTTACTATTTCTAAATCTTCTTCTATATCAATTTCATTATAACTATAATCGTTTTTATCTATGACTGTAACTATTCTTTCAAAGGGATCTTCTATTTTTATTTTATCTATTTTATTTTTTGCTGTTATTTTATGTTTTGTTGTTAGAACATATAAGTTTTTACATCTAGCTGTAAATATTTTACTTCCTGGGGCTAGTTCTATCCCCAACATTCGCCAGTATAATACTAGTGATTTATCTATATTCCTGTCATTTATTGCTACTGAGTAGTTAGCACTTATTATAAACTTAAATTTTTGGTATATGAGGTTACCTCTTACTGCACTTATTACACTTTTTTCTATGGGTTGTATAATTCTATCATCCGCTAAGTATTTCTATGGGTGTATCTATTCCTTCTCTAAAACATGCTTTTATTAATATTTCTGTTCCTCCTAAATGTACATATTTAATTGGATTTTTAGCCTTAATATCTTGTATTTCTTTATTTATTAATCGTTTATTTATTATTGGTATTTTGGCCTTTCCTTTAGTATATTTGCAATCTATGATATGTTCTCTTTGACTTACTACATAATATTCTTCTTTTTGTCGTTTAAACCAGTTTCTTACTGTTGGTATTTCGAATATTTTTGCTACGCTTAGGTCTAATTCTTTTCCTTTTATTTGTTCAAATATACTATTATCAAATATTATTTTTTGTTCTAAATATTCTTCGTCTTGATGCTTTTCTTTATTTATCGTTTGTATATCTGCTTCAGTCATTTGTTATATTATAGGATTCATTATCTGATTCTATTTCTATGTCATTATCTATTTCATTTTCCGATAATTCATATATGCTATCATTGCTTTCTAATTCATAATCTACATATTCTATTTGTGTATATTTTTCATCGTCTATTATTATTTCTGATATTTGTTTTTTCTTTGGATTTTTATGTAATTTACAATCTCTAGCTATATGTCCTAATTTTCCACAATTATAACAAGTACATTCTGTTAGTTTTCTTTTTGGTCTATATGGTCTTTTGGTTTTGTAATTTTTTACATAGTACCTTCTTCTTGGTTTTTTATATTTATATTTTGATCTATATTTTTTATTATATTTCTTTCTATTTTTGTAATACTTATCCGTACAACCAAATTGGGGTGTTGTTTTATTTTTGCAACATGCTAAGTTCTTTATTAATATTTTTTCCATTTTTATTTCTTCTTTATGCTTTTCACATAGTTCCATAAACCATCGTTGCAAGAATTTCATTCTAGCTCCTAAGGTGTACGTTAATTCTGCTTCATTCCAACTTTTTATTATTTTTGAATTAAAAGGTTCTGGTAATTTTGTAAAATATAATTTTCTTATTTCTTTACTTTCTTCTGTGCTATATGTTCCTTTATAATAATATTCTCTAAATGCAAATGTATATTCATCTATGTAACACATATTGCATATTGCTAATTTTGTCATTAGATTCCGATTTATGATTTTTTCTTTATTTTGTTCTTCTACTTCTGTTGTCATACTACTAAATTCATTTCTTATAGCTATTTCGTATTTATATAATATTTCCATGGTTGTAGTGGCTATTCCACCATCAAATTTTTTATTATTTCTTAAAGTTGTTAAGCTTTCATTTGTTAAATTTTGTAACCATAATTTTACTGTTCCTATAAGTGTTCTTTCTATGTATCCTGGTACCTCTGCTATTACTATCTTGTTATCTATTAATTGTTTTGATATGTATCCTACCCATAATTGGATTGTTTTATTTATGTATGCTACACAGTCTAAATCTAAAAATTCATGTTGTCCAGTTATTGGTTTAGGCGTCCATTTTTTATTTAATCTTTTATCCCATTTAGTTTTTTCTTTATCATATTGTTCATAATTTTCATTATAATATTTTGGATTAAAATTTTTTGGGTTTTTTACTCCTGATGTGCTAGGTTTTTCGCCTATGTCTACGTCTTCTGTATTTACTTCTAAATTCTTTGTATTATCTATGTTTGCTAAAAGTTCCGTATATGCTTCGCTTGTTTCTGAATGTTGTTCTAGATCATCATCGTTTATTTCATCAACTCTTATTTCGGGTAGATTATCTTGGTTATTTTCTTCTTTTTCTCCTAATTCATCTTGTAATTGCAATTTTTCTTTAAATTTATTTATCTCATTTGCTAATTTTGTTTTTTGTTCTTTTTCTTTTTGTTTAATTTCATACATTTCTTTTAATATTGCTAGCTCTTTTTCTAGCTCTATTATTTTAGTATTTTTTACTTCTTCTAATTGTTGTACTTCCTTTTTTGCTTGTTGTTTTATTTTTTCAATTTCCGTTCTTCTATCTATTTCTTCATTTTCTTTTGTTATTCTTACCATAGCAGTTAAACTATCTTCTAGTTTTACCGTTTCTTTTTCTAACATTAAACTTATATTGTCACCTATTTTCTTATATCTTCTTCCTAGATTAGAAAATATTATCTTTATTTTTAATCCGTCATAATTTTCATATGTTTTTTCATCTATTCGTATTCTTCTTTATTCATTTATAAATTATGTTGTAGTTTATATTCTAAGTTATTTATTTGTATTTCTAGATAAAAAATAGTCTTTCTTTGTGCTACTATAGATTTGTGACAAATTCCTGCAAATATATTACTATTAAGTCTATTTTGTCTATGTTCTAATTCTTGTCGTTTTTCTATAATTACTTCATTAAGTTTTTGTCTATATTCACTATTCTTGTTATTCATTGTATTTTTAAGTATTGAATATATTTATATTCTATTTTAGATATATTATTTATTAATTGATCTAATTTTTCATTATCAATCTTTGTGATATTAAGTTGTTTATATTCCGGATATAATTTATTTAATTTTCGTCTTATTTTTCTTAATTTTCTACTTTGGATGGACATCCAAAGTCTGGTCTTTCAAAATTTGTTTTCATTTCTACTAGTTTCTTCTTTATCAAGGCGTTCCCAAGTAAAAACAATAGACACTAACTTACAAAAGTTCTCATGTTGCAGGATCGCCACATTCTTCCTAATGGAATCATTTAAAGCGTTTTCAAATTTTCTGCACTTGTCTTTTTCCTCTTTAATAATACCTCCAGCATAATGAGAGAGTCTTAGAAGCTTCTGTTGGTACTCAACAATAGACATGCCTCGTTGCCTTAAATTCAAAAACTCTTTTTTCTTTGCATTACAATAAGCAGGTGGGATGTACTTCATAAAAAATTCCTTAAGAAAATCATCCCAATTAAGAACAAGAGGTTTTACCTTGGCATTCAGAACACTTACCCACCAATCCTAAGCATCCTTTTGTAATAGTGAAATAGAATACTTAAATTTGGCAATAGTTGAACACTCCAACTGCTCAAATACCCTCTCCATGCGCTCCAACCATTGTTCAACATCCGTGGGATCAACAATACCTTCAAACTCCGCTCCACCCATTTTCCTCATTTTCTCAAAGTTATTCCCGTTGGGATCATGCATCGATTCAGCTGTGTGGTGGAAGAATTCATCCATGTGGTGGAAGAATTCAGCCATTTGTTGAAAAGGAGGATTCATGGCTTGAGTACCACGACTCATGTGAGGATGTGGACCAACTCTTACACCTTGATGGTTTCCCACTTTAGACCCACTAGTGTGGGGAACATATTGGTTCGAGAGATGTTCTCCAACCCCTTCCAGTGCATGAGGTCAGGAAACAAAGGCACCCGAACCTGCACGAGTAGGTTCCTTAGGCCGGTCAGAAAAAGTGGCCATAAGTTAATTCCTTCAAAAGGGAAGATCACATTGCATTAGGGACATGTACTTGATGCATATGCACTCTACATGCAATACAAAATATTATAAACCATGTAAGTGAACAAATAATCTATGTAGCACATTTTTTGAAAGTGAACAAGTATACAAGTAATTCACAACAAAAGTCCTAGAACCACAAACCTAGGCTCTGATGCCAACACTTGTAGCAACCCTTTCGAAAGGATACTACCACTTAAACAAGAAATCTAATTAAATACGTGCGACATTTTAAAGAGGTTAACTATGGCCATATTGATTATAATTTAGTAGAAGGCTTAGGTTCATAAAGAGAAAAAAAAAGAAATAGTTAAGGATGTGCATCCTGCCCATTTAAACATTTATTTGATGTCAAATTGATATTGCGCAGAATTTTAACTTATGGTGGATAAACCCTTCCAAAATAATATGTCAATAACTCACGAGATTTTTATGCATATATTATCCTCACACTGCAAAAATGATATAAAAAGAATATTACCAACTTTCGAGTACCAAAATTAGGTGGTTCATGCTTCACACAACCATTCAAAACAAGTGGTAAATTTAATATATTACAAAACTTGGGCTTACACATCCCAAAAGAACAAAACAAATAGCCATACTTATATTATAACCCATGGTGACATGATCAAATTAGCCCTCAAAATTTCATGTAAATATACAACACATAGATCATGTATAAGTCCCAAGATTTATACAAAATATAAATGCCTATATGCAAATATGATCTTCCTTAAGGCTCTCAAAATCTCCATCTCCAATGGCCAGCTTCATGCCTTCTCTCGATCATTCCCTACGATAGAAACAACTATCGCTATGCAGATAGCTTACTGGTGTAAGAACTATAGGATCGGAGCCCTCAGATTCACCAAATTATGGCCAAGGCAAGCCTCGCGTGCCCAGTTTCCCACAATGTGGAATGGTACTTGTAGGAGAGCTTCTGGTGCATGTTTCAATTGTGGGAGCTTTGATCTTAAAGTGAAGGATTGTCCTAATCCTAATAATGCTCCTTCCTTGAAAACTGAAGGCTTAGTTCATAAGCCTTCTATTAATCCTCATCAAACTAATAGAGGTGCAACATCTAAAAACAACCAAGCAGTAGGTGCAAGTGGAGCTAATAAAGCTAGTGGACTAACGGCTACTACACGCGCTTATGCTATGAGGCAGAGGGATTATCTAGATGGACAAGACATGGTTGTCAGTAAATTTCACTTATTTGGCTTATGTGTGTTTACATTGATTGATCTTGGTTCTACACATTCCTATATTTGTTCAGCATTTGTTCTTCCTAAAAATGTGAAATCTGTGAGACTTAATTATGATTTGTTGGTTGAATGTCCTCCTGGTTATCAAGTTGTGTGTAATCGAGTTTACCAAGATTGTCCCTTTGTGATTCAAAACCTAGTTTTCCATGCTGATTTGATTGAATTACCCTTCAAGGATTTTGATGTTATTATCAAGATGGATTGGCTTTATATATCATGCAATAGTAGATTGTAGGTCTAAGCATGTGACTTTTAAATATCCAACATTTTCACACATCATTGTACAAGGTGAAAGATCATTGACATCTAGTATTAATTCTACGGCCTTGGCAAGAAAGTTGATGCGTCAAGGTTGTGGGGCATACCTTGCTCACATAGTTGATACACGGTTTAAGAGTCCTTGTATCAAGGACATACCTGTTGTATGTGATTTCCCAGAAGTCTTCCCCGAAAATCTTCCTGGGTTGCACCCAGAAAGAGAGGTTGAATTTCCAATCGATCTTATTCCTGGATCTACCCCTATTTCTATTACTCCTTAGAGAATTGAAATCTCAATTGCAAGAACTTCTTGAGAAAGGTTTTATTCGCCCTAGTGTTTCTCCTTGGGGAGCCCCTGTTTTATTCGTAAAGAAGAAAGACGGCACTCTTAGGCTTTGTATTGACTATAGACAATTGAACCGAATAACAATCAAGAACAAATATCCACTACCAAGGATCGATGATTTGGTTGACCAACTGAAGGGTGCTAATGTATTCTCAAAGGTTGATTTAAGGTCTGGATATCACTAACTGCGTGTTAGAGATAAAAATGTCCCTAAAACTGCTTTTAGATCTCGGTATGGTCATTATGAATTTTTCGTGATGCCATTTAGATTGACAAATGCTCTTGCGGTATTCATGGATCTAATGAATCGAGTATTCAAGCCTTATCTTGATCAGTTTGTGGTTGTCTTTATAGATGATATTTTAATATTTTCCAGAAGTAGTGAAGACCATGATGAACACCTTCAGATTGTTTTGAAAATTTTGAAGGAGAAAGAACTTTATGCTAAACTTTCCAAGTGTGAATTTTGGCTTGATGAAGTAGCTTTTCTGGGACATATTGTATCAACTGAAGGCGTTGAGGTGGATCCTAGTAAGATACTAGCACTTGTTGAATAGAGACCTCCCAAAAGTCAAATTGAGGTAAGAAGTTTCTTGGGCTTAGCAGGATACTACAAAAGATTTGTGAAAGGCTTTTCCATTATCGCCTCCCCTTTGACCAAGCTCTTGCATAAGGAAGTAAAGTTTATTTGGGATGACAAATGCCAAGAGAGCTTTGAAACTCTCAAATCCTTGTTGACTCAAGCACCTATGCTTACTCTACCAATTGAAGGGAAAGAGTATGTAGTATACAGTGATGCTTCTCACAATGGTCTAGGATGCGTTTTGATGCAAGAAGGGAAGGTAATTTCATATGCCTCTCGGAAATTAAAACTGCATGAATTGAATTATCCTACTCATGATCTTGAACTTTCTTCTATAGTGTCTACTTTAAAAATATAGTGGCATTATTTGTATCGAGAGAAATGTCATATATTAAGGTACTTGGGTACTCAAAAGGAGCTAAACCTAAGACAATGTAGATGGCTTGAACTCATCAAGGATTATGACTGCACGAGTGATTATCATCCAGGTAAAGCTAATGTGGTTGCAGATGCCTTAAGTCGAAAATCCTTCGGAAGCATTTCTTTGAGTCCTTTACCCTTGCTCCTTGAGTTACGAGCCATGAATGTTTATTTTACACTTGATTCAAATGGTTCAGTTATTGTTAATTTGCAAGTAAAGACAATATTACTTGAACAGGTGAAAGAAGCATAAAAGTTAGATGAGAAACTTGTAAAATTGACCAAAGAAGTTCAAAATGGGGAAAAGCTTGATTTTACAATAACGGAGGATGGTGACTTATTTTGTCAAAACAGGTTATGCGTCCCTTGTGATGAAAAATTGAGGAGAGAAATATTAAATGAAGCACATACTCCACCATATGCAATACATCCTAGATGTACAAAGATGTATCAGACCATCAAAGAACATTATTGGTGGAATGGTATGAAAAAAGACATTGCGGAGTTCATTTCGAAATACTTGGTTTGTCAAAAAGTAAAGGCTAAGCATCAAGTCCCAGTTGGTTTACTGCAACCCTTGTGGATGCCGGAATGGAAATGGGAGAGAATAACTATGGACTTTCTTTATGCACTTCCTTGCACTCAAAGGAATCATGATGCAATATGGGTGATTGTGGACAGGCTCACCAAGAGTGCTCACTTCTTAGCAATCAGGATGGATTACTCACTTGAGTGTTTAGCCGAATTGTACATTAATGAGATTGCAAGACTACATAAGATACTTGTGTCTATTGTATATGATCGAGACCCAAGGTTTACATCTAGATTTTGGGGAAGCTTTAGGTACTAAGTTGAAATTTAGCACATCGTTCCATCCTCAAACAGACGACCAGTCGGAAAGAGTGCTTCAAATTTTGGAGGATATGCTTCGAGCTTACATTATGGAGTTTGAGGGTAGTTGGGACAAACACTTGGCATGGATAGAAATTGCTTACAATAGCAGTTACCAATCGAGTATTGGAATGCCTCCCTATGAAGCCTTGTACAGAAGGAAATGTCAGACCCCTCTTTGTTGGAGTGAAGTTGGTGAAAGAAAGCTTGTTGGTCCTGAAATTGTGCAACAAACAGAGACACGGTAAAAATTATTAAGGATAGTCTAAAGATTTCTTCGAATAGACAAAAGTCGTATGCTGATCTTAGAAGGTGTGACATTGAATATCAAGTTGGAGATAAAGTATTCTTAAAGGTGTCTCCATGAAAAAAGATTATGAGATTTGGCCAAAAAGTAAAACTTAGTCCCTGATTTATTAGACCTTATGAGATACTTGAAAGGGTTGGACCAGTTGCATATAAATTAGCTTTGCCACCAAAGTTAGACAAAATCCACAATGTCTTTCATGTTTCTATGCTCAGAAGATATCTTTCTGATCCATCTCATGTTCTTCCAGTTGAATCTTTTGAGGTTAATACTGACTTGACCTATAATAAAGAACCTATTCTACTTCAAGCTCGACAAGTAAAGCAACTTAGGAACAAGAGAAACCCCTTAGTAAAGGTACTTTGGAGGAACTATTCTGGAAAAGAAGATACCTGGGAGAGAGAAGAAGACATGAGGACCCAGTATCTGCACTTGTTCCGGGACTAGTGTAAGGTAAATTTCGAGACGAAATTTCTTTAAGGGGGAGAGAGTTGTAACATCCCGAAATTCTAATCAAGAGCCACTTGTCGGTACACCAATGCTTAATCACTACAGTATGTTTTACTCTCATTTTGGGAACTTGAAATGTTGTGATATTTGCAAACTTGCTTAGCATAAATTGTGATCGTATTTTAAGGTATTGTATTGGGGTATTTTCGTAATATACCAATTAGAATTATGTATAACATTAAAGGGAGGTGAGGGTTATACATATAGGTATATACGTATGCATTTTCGGCAGCCAACCTTTTTTTGGGAAGCCACCCTTTGGAGACAGTTGTGCATGTGATAAACATCACTCTTGAGACTATATGTTTACACCTCCTCTATAGTGAAATTTGTGTTCCTTAGCTCTAAGAAACCTAGTGAACTCTCTCTAACCATATGACTCTCAAAATCACAAGAGAAAAACTTCTTCCTTTTGGCTGGAATTCCAGATACACCCTTCTCTTTGGTGAGTAGTCGAAATTTGTTTCTGAGATGAGTAGTGTTTATTATTTTTCGAATATCTCGTTCCATAAAACTCTTTTTTCGGTGAATAAATATGATTTGGAAAGATAATTCATATATCTATAAATCTTATGTTTATGTAAATCTCTAATTTAGCTATTATGGATTCGAAATATGGGACGCAACATAGGACAAGTTCTGTCCAGATTTTGGATTTAGAAATCCAGTATGAACAACTGTTAGTGTATCGGTGATATCTTTTTGTACAATTATAATTTGTGGTGATTCTTGATTTTTTGCAACCTTAAGAGATGTACCTACATCTTTCATGCAGGATATACAGTCCAGTTTTGCCGTTTTCCTTTTCAAATCTAAGTTGCGACATGAGGTACTACGCTGCCTAGAATTACTGTTTTGGGTGCATAGTCATATTTGTACAGGCTAAGCTTACTTGTAATGCTAATCCTGTTTTACATTAACATTATTGAGCTACTAGGGATTAAAAGAAGTTATTTAATTTTATTTTAAGGTTGTATATACTCGTGAACAAGTTGAGAACCTTCATACGTTTGTTGGTCTACGGTTTGAACTCTTGAAGTTCTGTTGGACTGTTTCTAAGCTAAGGACTGAGGTTTGAGTATAAACTTGTACTTGTACTTGTACTCTTTTTACCTGCTGGTATATCTGAATGTTTATCTTGTTACCTTGTTACCCCTTGTCACTTTGCATTGTCGTGTTGGTATCCTTTAAGATATTAAAGACGCTTGTGTAACTCGCCCACTTGTACGGATTGTTTGATCACTTGGTACTCTTTTTGAGACCTTGTCCTTCTTGTGGTTGTGACTTTGTCACTATTGGGATGTCTCTTGATTAGGATCATTTGCCATCTTGACTCTCGATTTTTAGTCTGTCTTAAGAATGGAAGTTGTTCATCTTAAGTACGAACTAGAAATCCATTTTTAATATGGTTGTTGGTTCTCTTCATTATTGGGCTTGACCCTTTTTGATACAGGGCGTCAGCCCTTCTTGATACCTGCTTGTGCTTGGTGTGACGATATGATTTATATAATGGGCGAGCCTTGTTATTGAATCTCTTGGAAAATGGTGCTATGAGCGTTCTTGACATTTGGATCTTTAAATATCAAACTTGATACTCTTTATATAATGTTTAGTTGATTTGTTTGTTATGTTTCAATTGTGCTGCCTCTGACTTGAGAAAGGTAGCTTGGTGAACCTGAGGGCTACGAACCTATAGTTTTTACACCACAAAGCTATATGCTTAGCGATAGTTGTTTCTATCGTAGGGAATGATCGAGAGGACGCATGAAGTTGGCCATTGGACATGGAGATTTTGAGATCCTTAAGGAAGATCACATTTGCATATATGCATCTATATTTTGTATAAACCTTGGGACTTATACATGATCTATGTGTTGTATATTTACATGAAATTTTGAGGGCTAATTTAATCATGTAACCATGGGTCGTAATATAAGTATGGCTATATGCTATGTTCTTTTAGGGTGTGTAAGCCCAAGTCTTGTAATATATTAAATTTACCACTTGTTTTGACTGGTTGTGTGAAGCATGAACCACCTAATTTGGGTACTCGGAAGTTGGTAATATTCTTTTTATATCATTTTTGCAGTGTGAGGATAATATATGCATAAAAATCTCGTGAGTTATTGGCTTATATATCTAAAATAGAATATAAATATATTCAATATCTAAAAATACAATGAATAACGAGAATAACGAATATAGACAAAAACATACTGAAATA